AAAAATCAAGTCACGAGGGAACTCCAAGATCTTTTATTAAATAGTAAGCAAGGTTAGTGAGAGATCCCTCTTTTTAATGCAATAATACATAGATAAATCAAACCCTAACCTTCTCAAAACTCAAGATATCCAAATAACACATAACAAAGTTAAATAACACACAAGTCAGCAAGAAACCTCTACCTCAAAGCAAAGAGGAAGAAGAAAGAAAACTCCAAAAACCGACAGTAATCCAATGGCGATTTGTTCTGATTGGAATGAAGCCCTTGATGAACTCGACACTTTATCTCAAGTAGCAAGGTGAGAAAATGACTCTAAGTGAGTAGATTTGAAGCTCCAACGTGAAAAAGCAAGTTTTGGGAAAGAAAAGTGGGTTTTGGTATAGAGAGAGAGAGAGGGAAAGTTTGAGGGGAAAGAGAGAGAAGAAAAGTGAGGAAAGATAAGGTATAGAGTGTTTATTTTTAGTGCTAGGTCAAAAGTAGAATATATTCCCTAAAATCAACTCGAAGAATAAGTCAAAAACCTTAAAAAGTAGGGCCCAAATCGTAACGAAAAATTTGAATTTTTTTGTTAAGTGTCAACACCAAAAGGAGGGGTGTCGACACCAAGAAACAGTGGTGTTCCAAGAACAATTGCACCAGACAAGGTGTCGACACCCAAATACCCTGGTGTTGACACCAAAAAGTAGAACCATAAAATGCAACACTCAGCTTACACGGTGTCAACATGAAGAAAAGGTGGTATCGACACCCAAAAACAGAAACGACAAGAGAAAAAGATGGAAAGGCAGGTGTCGACCCCAAGAAGCCCAATGTCGACACCCTGGCAAGAATTCCAAGGTTCACAATGAACTTTCTAGCAAAACCAAGTGCAAACGAACAATCTTAACAAATATAGTTCAAATTTTACTACACTAAAACAATGATACAATAATCCCAAAGATCTAAATGACAAAAGAAATAGAAATTAAGAGATTATTTCATTTTTACCCCTATACTTTGTCAAGATTTTCAATGACCTCCCCAGACTTTTCTTATTTTCAGGCGTACCCCTATACTATTTAAGTTACTATCAATTTTTCCCCTGCTGTCAGATTTGAAACGAAAAAAGTTAAACAAATTACATTTTGGCCCCAAATTTCAAAACAAAGATGCAAACCCACCTAGCAAACCACCACCAGCAACCACCGGTTCAAGCCCTTCTATCTCCTTCGTCATAACTCCGTTTTGCCTCATTTTTACGTCGTTGGATTCAACTCACGGTCTAGTTTTTATATCACGTCTCATATGTCTCATTCTTCCTCTTTTTGCATGCTATCGGAGCTCCAAAAGTTGATAAAAAATAAGACTTTTCTTCTTATTTTGACTTTTCTTCGAGCCATCTTTCAGATTTCATGTCTTTCTCGATTCTTGACGGTTCTACTTTATTCTTTTGCCATTCTCTTCACCTCATTTCCTACTTTTCTCTATACTACCTTACTTTCTCACTTCTTCATGTAATGGGCAGTTTTGGTATGCCGAAAAAAGTTGTCTGAAAACTAATTTTGAAACTTTCAAAACATTCATCTTTTGTTTCTTTCTTCTCCATCTTCCTCATTCTTCTTATTCTTCTTCACTTATAACATGATATGGAACATGGTTCTAGGTGGTAACGAAACTGATGATAGTGGTGGTGGCGGTGATGGTTCTAAAAAGTTATATATGATACTTTCTGCATACCCATGTACAAACATTTTGCAATGTATTAGTTTCTCTACAAAAATTTGGTCACTCTGATGGGATGCAATATTGAGAACAAGTGCTTAAACTCTGGGAAGAGAGTAGATAGTTGATTATAAAATACCTAGGTGTAAATATTATATGGATTCTTCTTTCTCACTCAGGGAGGTAGAGGACGAAAATTCTGTTGGTGGAGTTTAATGAACATAAATATGGACTAATTCAAAAACCTGTTGCCTATGCATCACCAATGGAAGCATAGACATTTAGTGGGCCATGATTGAGATCTAACATACAGTTAACCTTTTTTAGAAGAGGGAAAAAAAGAAAAAGAAAAAAAAAAAGATAAGGCATCAAAGATGTGCCTATAGTTCATATTATAACGAACCCTCCATAACCAAAAATAGTTGGGTGCATCCAAACAAGGAATAATAAAATGCAAATTTAAAGAATAAGAATATTTGCAAATTCAAAGAACTATCAAGTTGTCCAGAGCTTCCACTTGATATAAAGCAAGATATAATCTTATTCATCCTTCATTAATTACCTTGTACAAATTTTGCATCCATCATCTCCATCAAATTATTCATAGCCAGGGAACACAAAATAGATAAGCCTAGTAATTTAGATAACTGATTAAAGGTTGTGGAAAGTTGTATCATGAAATAATATAATGAGGATGGCCATATTTTCCATACTGTCAAAACCACCAATCCACCATATGGTTGAAATAGAAAGAAACAAGAGATGAATGTTTTGAAACTTTCGAAATTAGTTTTCGGACAACTTTCGGCATACCAAAACTGCCCATTACATGAAGAAGTAAGAAAGCAAGGTAGTGTGAGGCAAAGTAGAAAATGAGGTGAAGTGAATGGCGAAAGAATGAAGTAGAACCGTCAAGAATCGAGAAAGATATGTAGTCTGGAGGGGGCATTGAAAATCGTGACAAAGTATAAGGATAAAAATGAAATAATCTCAGAAATTAAATACACTTTCAAAAGGTTTAAAGAACACAATTGTTACATGTTTATTAAGAATTACAGTGACTATGGTATTTAGTGATGATGATGGTATTTTACTATTTAAAAGTTAAAATTTTACAATAAAATTTATTATGTATCAGAGTAAATATTTATTGTGAAATAGAATAAAATTTTACTGTTGACATTAATTCCGACAGTAACAATTTTATTATTTTATTTAAAAAGATTTATGACCAACATGGATCTTGTTTGATAGATGCTGATAAGAGGATTCTAAAAATATTAATATTATTAAAAAGAGACATCTAGATCAAAAGTTTTATCATTTTAAAGTTTAAAATATTAAATTACTAATTAATGATATTTTGCTAACAGTAATGTGTGTTGGACTTTTCAAGAAAATGTTTTTGTGTTTGTCCTTAATGCATTAAAATTTTATTGTGAGGGGGGCATTGTATAACGGTTCTGGTTTAGACCCGACCGTATTCATGCTCATAAATTTGAAATTCTGTACCTTAATTATTGTTTATACCCTTACTATCTTGTTATTAGCTCAGTTTGGTTGTTTAGAGTTGTTGGTTGTGTTTGAAATGGGTTGGAAGCTAGTTTTTCAAAAGAGTTGTTGTCCATTTCATTTCTTGTTCTCTTGAGCAGTGCTTTGGTCGCTCGAGCGGTCTTTGAGATCTCCAGGTATTTTTGCAGGTCTATAAAACTTCTGGGAGTAGGGTGATCTTCACTCGAGCGATCTTTTCACCGCTCAAGTATTCTTTTGTAGGCTTGAACTTCTGGAAGGAAGTCATTGTATGCTTGAGCGGTGCTTTGGTCGCTCGAGTGGTGTCACTTATTGTGTCTGACACTCGAGTGGTGGTTTTGTTGCTCAAGTGCGTATATCAGATTGGGGAGAAGCCTTTTTCAGTCACTTTTTCATTCCCCTCTGTGATAACCCAACCCATAACATACTTGATTATGCATATGATTATGTGTTTGATATAAATTTGTATGTTTAATTATGTGAATTATTATGTGATTATGAATTTTGATTTGTTGAGTGTAGAAAAATCTATTTAAATTGAGGGCTTTGAACTGAGAATTTATAGCCTTAGAGGTGCCAAAAACCAATGCCGACTTTACATTTGTATTTAGCATTTTTTTTAGAGCATGTGGTGGAATTTGGAAAAAGTTCGATTCGTAATGAATTAATTGAGCTTAATTAGCATAAGCCTTAGATTAAGCCAACCTCATTATGTACGTGGTTTTATGTTTAATTGATTAAGGAGATTTTGATTCTAATTGGCTGTTACTCTAAGGTAATTTAGGATTTATGGGAATTTTTGAAGTCTGATTCATATTTGATTTTAATAAGAATTTAATTTGAAATTAGAAATTAAGGGTCCAAATGGCTTAAGGAAGTGAAATCAATAAGTTGAATCAGTTCAATTTCGAGTACTGGACCATGGGGGTTTAATTAAATATTCGATTCAATTTTGAATCAGTTAGTAAAATCAAAATTTGATTAATTGCGTCCAAATTGAATTAATTAAGTCAATTTGGTTATAAGAATTAGTAATTGTGATTATTTTGGATTGAATTCATTTATGAGGTATTTAATTTGAATATGTAAATTATTGACAAGGATTTTAGGTTTGATTTGAAATTGAAGGCCTTAGTAATTTACGAAACCAAAATTGATGATGATAATGAATTTAATTTAATATTTGGAGCCTTTTAGGAGTTTGATTAAAAATCTGATTCAGATTGACAAAATTAAATATATTTCATTGGGTTATAATGGAAGTCAAATTAGACTGGTTAAATTATGTGAGATTTGTGATTAGTTATGATTAATTTAATTATATGCTAATCAAGATTTTTTTTAGGCTAAGTGTTGCTTAATTAAATTAATCCTAAGCATAAATTGGATTATGGAACAAATTAGAATTTGTGGGTGTGGGTGCATTGAGAAAACAAAATTAAATATATTTCATTGGGTTATAATGGAAGTTAAATTAGACTGGTTAAATTATGTGTGATTTGTGATTAGTTATGATTAATTTAATTATATGCTAATCAAGATTTTTTTTAGGCTAAGTGTTGCTTAATTAAATTAATCCTAAGCATAAATTGGATTATGGAACGAATTAGAATTTGTGGGTGTGGGTGCATTGAGAAATTTAGGTGGGTGCATTGAGAAATCTGGTTGTGAATGTTGCACTGGCAGCTTGGATCAATGTGCACGTGTGTAGTGTGAATGCATTTAGTGAAGTTGTGTGTGTGTGTTTTATGTGCTGGTGAACTCAAGGGGTAGATTTAATTCATTTGACCCAAAACGTTTTACAAAGAGAGAGAGAGAGAGAGAGAGAGAGAGAGAGATATGGTTCAAGTTATGTAGAAGTAGAGCTAAGGAAAAGCAAGGGAAAACGAAGAAAGGAGAAGAGACTCAAGAAATTCAATCATTGAAGACCTAAGGTAAGAAATTGAAACTTAGATTTTATAGATAATTTAACTAAAAGATGAAATTAAGAAATAATTGGCTTCAATTCCATGTAAATAAAAAGAAAATGAGCAAGATGATGAAGAAATGGAGTTAGGTTCAAATTTATGGAAGTTAAATTGGGAATTAATTATTTTGAGTTTGATTTTTGTAGTCTTACATGAGTTTGAGTCTAATCTATACATGCATGAACATATTCTTCAATTTTGATACTCTAATTGTACATGCATCATGGATTTCTAATAATTGATTTCATGTTTCGATGAAAATAGTTTTTTGCGACGGCAAGTGGGGGGTCGCAAGAGAGGGGGTTGCAAAAGGGCTTTAGCGACGGCAAGAGCCGTCGCAATTGTTTTTGTGACGGTAAAAAACATTTTTTGCGACGGCAAAATTCTGTCGCCAAAAAACTATGAAAATCTATTTTTTTGCGACGGTAGAGTCTTGCCGTCGCTAAAGGAGTTTTGTCGACTGCCAAATCCCGTCGGTAAAAGTATCGTCGCTAATGACGATTGGCGACGGCAACCTAAGCCGTCGCTAAAGGTCTTATTCTCAGTTTAATACCTACCTTTTGCGACAGTATTTGAGCCGTCGCAAAAAGCTTGATACCATTTTCTTTTGCGACGGGGGAGCTCCGCCGTCTCAAAAAAAAATTAAAAAAAAAAAAATCCCTGTACAAAAATAATTAAAAATATAAAAAAACCTGTATTAAATGAAAAATAACTAAAAAAAATCTAAAAATTACATAATAATATAAATACATACATAAACAAAAGATGGCACATGATGAACATTCATAATATTGTTCCATTCATAACAATACAGAAATAAAAATTATACCACTACATAATGTCGCATAATACATACATAATATTGTTCACAAATTTAAATAACATAAATCAAAATCAAAACCAAAAGTTTTCGTCTTGCTTCCTTCGTGGGTTAAAAAAATAAAAGCTGGTTATAATCTTTATACGCCCGCATTCCACAAGAAGCAAACTGCAACTAAGGAAATATCTGAAAAAAACAAAATAAAAATAATTAATAACAATATAATGGTGTTAACCTCTTGAAGAGAAGAAGCAATTCAAGCAACAAGACCAAGATAACACACCCTTCAAGAGCTTAAACCAAGCTAAAAACTACCTCAACTCAAAGATGAGAAGATTTGGTTAAGGGTGTATAAGCAAAGGTTAAGGATTTGTAGGCAAAAGTGTAGAAATTTGCTAGAGAGAGAGAATTGTAGAGAAAGAGGAAAAATTTTGATCTCAAAATTTTCTAAACCTTAAAACATGAGAGAGAGTTCTCCTATATATAGAAAACATGAATTCTCCATGCGATATACTAAAGCGAGTAAAGGCCCTAGCTTTCATGGTGTAAGGATGCTTCAAGTCAAAACTTAACTCCAACCAATTGAAGAGAAATTGAAAGTTTACTTATGATCTATACTCACCTTAAGTTGGATTCTTCAATTGTGCCTAGCAAGTTCTAGAATCCCCAAATCTTGTGACTTTCCTCTTCTCTCTTTTTTTTTCTCTCTTCTTCAAGGTTCTCAAGGTTTTCCACTCAACATATATATATATATACACAGAGAGAGAGAGAGAGAGAGAGAGAGAGAGAGAGAGAGCATACCTGAGTTGCTGTCGTCGTCGAAGCACCGCCGCTAGCCCTTCGCCGTTCGTCGTCGCCGCACCACCGCACCACCGCTAGCCCTTCGCCGTTCGTCGCCGGTCGCCCGTCGCTGGTTTGGGGATTTTGGGGGAAAATTGAGCGGCAAGATGAGAGGGATTTCTATCGGACACCGCTAGGGATTTTAGGGATTTTGTGCTTCAAATCAATTTTAGGGATTTTGCGATGGAACCGAGCGGCAAGATGAGAGGGAAGAGGGGGGAAAATTGTTTTTTACTTTTTGCGACGGTAAGGTTTACACCGTCGCAAATGATACAAAACGATTAACAAAACGACGCCGTTTTAATAATCCTTTTTTTGCGACGGAAATTTGCCGTCGCAAATGGTCGAGTATTTGCAACAGCAAACTTTTGCCGTCTCAAATATTTTTTTTTCCCGACGGTTCAACACTTGCCGTCACTAATAGTTCCTCATTTTAATACTCGCCCGTGCAGTTTATTACCGACGGTTAAACGCCGTCGCTAAAACTATTTTTTTGCGACGGTTTATTTTGCCGTCGCAAAAGACCATTTTTTGCGACGGGGATGGCGCCGTCGCTAGTACTTCCGTCTTTTTTGCCCTTTTTTCTTGTAGTGTGAGTCTAATCTATACATGCATGAACATATTCTTCAATTTTGATACTCTAATTGTACATGCATCATGGATTTCTAATAATTGATTTCATGTTTTGATGAAATAAGAATTTAGCTTTGGAAATTTATGGGTTTATGAACAATGAACTTAATTTGTAAATTAAAGGAGTTTTAATGTAAATGATTTAAAATTAATCATATTTTCTTAATTATTTAAGGGTTTGTATGTTTTTAGATACGTCATGTATGAACCCAAGTTTTGAGATTATATTTTGAAAGTTCAATTCATGTTTTAGAATTTGTGGGTTTGCAATTGGGCTTGATGTGAAGAATATGAATTAAATTTAAATTTGGACAAATATGGAAATAAATTATAATTTATACTTGAGAATTAAAAATTAGTTTGAATTAAAGGAGTTTTGATGTAAATGATTTAAAATTAATCATATTTTCTTAATTATTTAAGAGTTTGTATGTTTTTAGATAAGTCATGTATGAATCCAAGTTTTGAAATTATATTTTGAAAGTTCAATTCATGTTTTAGAATTTGTGGGTTTGCAATTGGGCTTGATGTGAAGAATATGAATTAAATTTAAATTTGGACAAACATGGAAATAAATTATAATTTATATTTGAGAATAAAAAATTAGTTTGATTTTGAATTAAATTTCATACATGCAAATATTTTTGAAAGGGCTTTATAGCTTCAATATATGTTTGTGTGAAAATGTAGAAAGATGATTTTTGAAACATGAAGAACTTGGCACCAAATCACACATGTATGCATAATTTTGTTGAATCTCATGAATTTAAGTGTCATTTCTATCATTTGAGATGAAACTATAGTCTACATTTCACATGCGTGCACAATCCATGAAAATGTAGAATTTATGTGCATGAGTTTTGAAGTTATGGAAATGAATTTGAAATAATTTGGGCTTGTATCATGAATCCTTGGAGATTTGAGCTTCAAATATTGTAGAATTGGCATTATATCATGTTAAAAGTTGTGTGGTTGCTATATAGGACAAAACATGTAAGTTGTATCATTTAAAGTTATGTTTTGAAGCTCAAACAACATTTTATAAAACCCATAAATCGACTTCATCGCCCGAGTAGAGAAGTTGCCGCTCGAGCATAAAATGCAAGCAACCAGTATTTTTGCAGACCAAGGAGTCTGCTCAAGCGACCAATGTTACGCTCGAGCGAGGAACCCTATTTCAGAAAAGTTTGAAAAGTTGTTTCATGCTCCGATTTTCGTTCTCTTTTATTTTTAAGCACTCTTACGCATACATTGAGTATTATAAATGAATTAAAAGAGTAAGAAAGAAGCCTAAGAAAACTAAACAAGTTAAGAACGAAATAAATTGTATTGTGACCCGATTTCTATGTGTATTATGAATTGTGTAGGGTCAACTATAAGGGTGAACCAGGCATCTGAACATTGTGAGTAATATCTTAGTAAAGATATTTTCAAGTATGTTATTTTCCAAATGCTACTTCGTTATAAGCTCCATGGATTTGTTGATTTGAATTACGAATGGGTATTCTATATGCCTAATTTTTGTACAAGACTCTGTCAAGAATATGATTTGGGTCCAAGGCCGTTTGAATATAACGCTGGGCTAAAGGCCGTTTGAATATAACGATGGGCCAAAGGCTGTTTGAATATTATGATGGGCCAAAGGCCGTTTGATATGATTGGGCTAGAGGCCGTTTGGTATGGTTGGGCCAGAGGTTGTTTGATGTGAATGAATTGGGCCGAAGGCCATTTGAATATTATGATGGGCCAAAGGCCGTTTGAATATTAATGTAATGGGCCAAAGGCCGTTTGAATATTAATGTAATGGGCCAAAGGCCATTTGAATGAAAAGGTACCCATGAACATGAATATGATTATATGTATAGATATGTATATGGAAATAATGGTTCTAAGGTCATTCTAATTTGATTTACATGTAATATGTATTAATGTGATTTACTTGATTAAGAATCTCATTCATATAACCTCTTTACTTTGGTATTATTCACTGGGCATTAGCTCACTCTTTATATATATATATATATATGTAGGTGAGTAATTGGAGGATCAATGTTAGAGTTTGCCCCGGAGTTTGCCTCTTTGTCAAGCCACCCAAGAAGTACCTCTGTGTAGAGGGGCTTTATTTCATTTTGTTAGGCTTGAGTTGGTCTTTGTATTTTGTTAAAAGTCCTCCATGAAGTGTGTGAGATATGTTATAAAATATGTCTTCGTGCATGTATATATAAATGTGTTATAAGTGTTTTCATTACTACAGTTGATCGTGTATGCACATCTCAATGGACAACATTATTTTTGTTTTGCTTCCACTTTAGGCCCCAATTATACTTAAATATTTTGAATTTTGTCTTTGAGGCCATAGGTAATCTTCGGATTATTGGCCGGTTACGACACTAAACCTATAAGGGCGGGTTTGGGTTGTGACACCCTCTCTCTCTCTAAAACATTTCTAAACCTAATTTCTTCACTCTCACTCCCTAGTTCTTGCTTAAACACCTCAAATACACCAAAATCTATTTATTTCTTCACCATAGTTCCTCAGAGAAAAGGGTAGAGCTTGTTGAAAGCTTCGTTTTAATCGAAGAAGATTTTATTTTTAGCTCCGTCAAACTTTTACTCTTGCTTTCTTCTTCTTCTAGTATTGGGGTTGGGATTAATTCAACCTTTGTATGATTTTTAGTTTGGTTATTTACTCTTTAAAAGGGTCTTCTGATTTGGGAATTTTGGGTTTAAATCTAGGGTTTGATTTTGAAATGTAAAATAGGGGTTTTCAAATGGAATTTTAAGAAAGGTGGTAGGAGTGTGAATATTGTTGAGTTGTGTTGAAATATTGAAAAGCCCTTCCTCAAACGTAATGTTGAAAGTAAAAGATGTTTTATTGGAAAATCATTGATGTTTGATTTATGAAAAGAAAAGGAAAAGATGTTGGGTTTGAAAATATAAGATGAAAGTATCTGTTGATGATGAGAGTGGAGTTGGATATATATATTATCGTTTCCATTTTGAAATTTATGAGATTATATCTGTTGTTGGAAAATTATCTGTTGAGTAGAGGTATCTGTTTTGGGCTATCGGTGGAGGATAGTTTTGATTGTTGTAGAAATTGCATAAGGATTAGGTTAATTAAAACTAATTACTCATACATCTTGCATTGGGCATTGTTTTATACTTAAACATTGAATATGTATTGTTTTGAGAAAAATGGGTATATACCGTGGTGAATCTGGTGAGGGGGTGTGGTTGTGGTTTATTATGTTGGCTTGTGTGTCCTTGGTGAAAGTCCAAAAGCCCGTGCGGTTAGGTGTTGATCGTTTCGATTGGTACTAGTAAAATGGCTTTGGTAGTACTTGTATAGCCTACTACCAGACACATACCTAGAGATTCCCAGTGTTTTGTATCCACTCCCCTATTTTCTGATATAAAAGTATTGTTTTTTATGAATTGATATAAATTGGCATTGCATTGTTTTGAAAGAGAAGGTATAATGTTTTGATAAATGGCTTGTATATGCATTCACTTTATGACTTTATTAAGTTTCATACATTTGTGTTCAAGTATCTCTACTGGGTTTTAGCTCACCTTACGTGGAAAACAACTTTCAGGTGCTGATGATATGCCTCCACCGAGGACATAGCTTGGGAGGACTTGGAGTCGAGAGCTTCTTTTTATTTCTTTTTGTGTAAGTAATTTTGTACAAGTCTTGGGCTTTCAATGTATTGAGTTTGACTCATTTTTGTTGTACCCAAGTATTGGCTTGGAAAGATCTAGCAATTAGGGCATAAACTTATTTGTACTTCCTTTTATTACAATTCATTTACACATGTCATATGTGATAGATTCAGGATCTAGGGTTTATGAATGTATGTATATGCATATGTCATCTTTTGTACACTGAAATAGAATCAATGAAAGGTTAATATTATGTAAATTTTTATTTTTTTTCATTGAATATCAAGAGGTGGATTATTGTTATTATTTTGGGGGTTACAATTTGATATCAGAGCTACTGGTTTTGAGTACTTTGGGATCGTGGTTTTTACCGCAATGGGTTTATCTCGCTAGATGATATTTGTAGTAAACCTGGTATGCTATGTGATTACATATTTATATGACTAAATAGATATGAGATTTGATTTCTAAGATATTGATGGGGTCTACGAGTTTCGAGAAGTCCTGTTAGAAGAGCACTTGATTACTGATAATTCTAACTAGAACTCTGGCAATGTCGTGGAACGATTATTCTCTAGAAAGTAAATTCATTTGCAACTATGTGATTCAGTGCTTATGTGGAATGAATTACTCGTTGTCCACTGTATTAGGACGTGAGTGAATTAGCTTTGACACATTTATAAACGTGCTAATCTATTGTGTTACCTTTATTAGAATATCAGGATGCGGACATGGTGGTGGTAGGCGTGGCAGGCTTAGGCGGTAGGAGGTGCGGATACCGGATCAAATTCTGGCACAACAGGAGGGAGTTAGTTAGACTAACGTGATGGGCGTCTTAGCTCGCGAAATGGCAAGAGCATTACGGGAATTCATAGACATTCTCAAGACAGAGAATCGAGTCTAGGCCCATGTTGCAGAAATAGGGCCATCTTTTCTAAAGAGAGTTTTTCTAGTCGAAACAGAATGAGTTTGTTGGAGATTCGAAAGAGCCACTGACGACCAACGAGTGGCTTGAGCAGATGGTGAAGACGTTTGAGATGCTTTGTATTGAGCATGATGGGTTAAGAGTGACCTTGGCATCTTTTCAACTTAAAGAAGACGTGAGTTAATGGTGGAAGTACGCATGAGGGCGTATTGGGGTGACTTGAGAGGCTTTCGTCAATGCTTTCTAGGACAAGTTCTTGCCACCCACTGCTAAGGAGAAGTTGATGGAGCATTTTTTGAAACTCAAACAGTTAAACATGCCTGTAGCCGAGTTTGAGGCGACTTTCACTAGCTTATCAAGGTTTGCACCGGAACTTGTGGTGACGGAAGAATGCCGTTGCATCAAGTTCGAGAAAAGGTTAAGGATTGAGCTTCTTTTCAAGGTGGCTGGGTCTATGATTAGGGATTTTGGTCGCCTAGTGGAGGTGGCAACTCACTTAGAGGCCGTGATTCAAACAGAGGAAGAGCAGATGAGGGGCTCCAAGCAGAGGAACCAGAATGTTCAGGGGGATGCAAGGGACAACAAGTGACAAAGGGGATTGCAGACACTCCATTTTGATCGTCCTTAAGACTTGGGCATTAGGGATTTTGGTCTCCTAGTGGAGGTGGCAACTCACTTAGAGACCGTGATTCAAACAGAGGAAGAGCAGATGAGGGGCTCCAAGCTGAGGAACCAGAATGTTTAGGGGGATGCAAGGGACAACAAGTGACAAAGGGGATTGCAGACACCCCATTTTGATCGTCCTTAAGACTTGGGCACTTGATTCTGAACACCCGATGATGAAATGTTATGCTGTGCAATCTTTCGAATCTTCAGCAAAAGAATTCGGCTTCGAGCTTCAAAACCAAATCTTGCACCCCCATTTTGACCAAAACTTTTCTTCTAGCCTAACCACTCGGAGAACAGCAAGCCAACAGATGGCTGGCAGGCCACTTTTATTGGGCCGGCTGTACATCCTCTTGGTCAGTTGGCTATGTTCAGCGCATAAGATATTTCTACAGCAGCAGGTTGCTCCCATGCACGGGGATTTGGACCACCTGTCTTTTTTGGAGATATTTCTGACATGAGAAGCTGAAATTCTATAAATAGAACACTCCCCCTCAGAGTTTGGAGTTAGAAAAAATTTCCAAAAGGTTTAGAAGCTTGTCCAAAACACTTCTCTACCCTCTTGAATATAGATATACTATAGATACACCATTGAATCTCAAACTTGAAGCTTTTTGCTGAAATTTTGAACTTTATTTCAGATACTTGAGGGTGTGTGGATTGAAGTTTGCTAACTAAGAAGCTCTATTTCCAAGAGGTTAAACTTTGATATATTTTCATCACCTTTTCTTTTACTCTTTTACTCTTCATTTCTTGTCAACACACACTGATTATCAGAGTTATTTTAGGCTTAAAATGTGATTAAAACTTTGTTAAAGGTGGACGGGCTAATCACCCTTCCATTGGCTAGCTCACTGGTTGTACACCCTTTGTTTTCTTTCATTATTTTTCACTTTTTCTTCATTTCATTTGGTTAAATTCCAGCACTTCTAGCACTGTTTGGTGGTGGTTTTGTGTGATATGAATATGGGCTTATAAAAGGGTCCTCCTCCTCCCCAATACATGTGCTCTTACTTCCTATGCTTTGAATATCATATTTGTACTGTTGTAATAGTATAATAGTCCTCATGGATTTGGTGTGTTTAGGATATAGCAGCCAATCTGTTTGAGTTGATCATCTTACTTTGGTTTTTATAGCTTTTCTTATGTATCTTGGAACCTTATGATCATGGGAGGATTAGAGCTTGAGCTTAGCCACCCCACCACAAGTTTGATTACCTAGCTATAAATTTCTTGCTTTCATATTGTTGTTGTCCACCTTGAAGCTAGGTAATAGCTTCTGTGTCAAAAGTGTTGAAAAACTCTATTCTTGATCATTTTTGAAACATGGAAATGGATATCTCATCCTTGTTCCATGACTAAAAGAGGAGTTATCAACAATTTTTGACGAGTTGTGTGTTTAAAACTTTAAATAGATAGCTTGATTCTTAATCTCTCTCTTCCTCAAAGTTGATGTATGCTCTCTTCTAGTTCCATCTTTGAAAGCATGGAAATGGATGTCTCATCCTTATTCCATGAGTAAGAAGATGAGCATACAACAACCTTTCATAGTTTTCATTAATTTGCTTAGTCTTGTTTTAATTTTGTTTGGAAGTCATATGAGAGCTTTTTCATTAGAAGTATTAAAGACTCTCTTCTAGTTACTTTTGAAGCATGGAAAAGGGATTTCAATCCATATTCCATGAGTAGGAAGAAGAGTCTCTAATTGCTTTCCTCAATGATGTAATCTCTTATTAAAAAGTTTCACCTTGGATTCCTCTAAACCTATTATCTCAAAATCTGAGTACTCATACTTACTCGTTATTTCCATGAGATATAGTAGGTTTCGGCTATCTTTTTGAATACTTCTTCTTAATTAGCCTTAGTTTTATAGCCATTGAATATTCTGTCTTGTTGTTTCATGAATCATCTTCTAAATACCTCTTGGGATGTTTGATGATTTGTGAAGCAAACCTATTCTCTCCTTGAAAATCTTCATGGAAGGAGGGAGCAGGAAGGATGAACATCTTTCGGATACCCTCTGTTTTGCTTTGTTCTAGTTTGGTTGCAGCAGGCTTTTCTCTAGAAACAGTGGCCGGTCAGCCATTCTTCTGTATGATCAACCATCTAATCAGGTTGCCCGACTAACTCTTTTGTATGATAGTGGTAGTATTTCAAATAAGCAGAGCAGATCTTGAAGTCAAAATAGAATTGCTTTCTGACTGTGAATAGGGAAATTTCTAGAAGCAAACAGAGAGGTTTCCAGAGGATGTTCTTGCTTGTGCGCACGCAGTTCCTTGCCTCTCATTCAAATCCTTTAGATTAGTCACTTTGAAATTCGTATTTGTAATAATTAGTTCATTCATTTGTGTTTTGAAAATAATTAGTTAATCAGGACATTCATAAGAGGGCAAATTTGTAACAATTGATGTATGTCTTCCAATCTCTATTTCTTTTTCCCTTTTATTTACATGCTTACTGTGGTTGTACAAAACATCATGTTTTCGTTTCATATCATTTCCATGCTTTGTATCCATTTTTCCATGCATTAAGGTTCGGCTCATCATACTTGATGTCATTATTACTTCCTACTTGAATAAGTGCGTTACTGCATGCTTTGAGTGGATTCATATGACATGTTCATAGCTGAGTCAAGTAATTACATTTTGTATGTGTTGCATTAGTCAAGTGCATTTACTAGGATAGCGCATTTTTTTCCTGTCTTCTTTTCTTTGGCTTGCCTCGTTTGAGTACTAGGTAAGCATTTTTTGCTTTAGCATATCATATGTGTGTTTGTGTTACCATGTCGAGCATACTACCATGAGGCTACTTGCTTACTTGAAATATTTCTATGAATGCCTATGGATGGAGGCTATTTTACTTAGATTGGAATGACTTTGATTATTGTACATATGAGCTCGCTTTTCCTTTGAGTTGCACATATTCAAAAACTCTTTACAAGAAAGCATGAAATCAAAGCATTCCAAAGTAAGTGACGTGGTCTATACTTGTTTTCTTCACATAGTAATGCTAGTATATTAATAATCAGAATATGAGCATATAATGTCCATAAAATTCACATCATGATTTAGTAGAGGCCGATCTTTGATTTGGTGAGTGGGGTGCTCAATTCACGACCTTCCCCTCTCATACCTAAGTTCCCAAATTGAGACAACTTTGTTATGATGGACAAGTGGCCTTTGGCAAGAGTCACGGGTTTCCTAATTTTCCTAAAAATATTAGGTGGCGACTCTGAAATCTGGCAATACAGTCCATTTTTGGCATCTCTGATGATTAATGGATTTTCTAAGATTTTTCAGATTTGGACTCTTATTCATTTTTCTGTTTCACATTGCACTTGTGAAACCAGATTCAGAACCACGGGAGTTCGAACTATAGGGAATCACATCCTAAGAGACTAAACCCCTTCGAGGAGCGCGAAAAACTAGCTACAAGGATCCACCCCGCAACAATCCCAGGATACACAGTTTAGATCCACCTTCCCCATGCCGAGTTCTGGTTTGAGGAGAGGTAACCATGGTGGTTTCACTTGCTTCAAGTGTGGTTTGGGCCATAAGTCTTCTGTTTTCCTATAGAGAGGAGTAGGGAAGACATAGAGCCATTAGCTAACATAGGCCTCGAAGGCTAATCAGGGAGCCTCGTCGGCTCAATTTGTGTACCAGAATTAT